CCCCAAAACCCCAAAACCCCAAAACCCCTAAGATATGAAATGATTTACATTTATTGGAATTTAATTAGTTAAATTTAAATTTTGAATATATTAAAAAGTAATGGAACAAAGTAATTCATAGGAGTAAAATGACTTGGATAAAGTTGCGAATGTATCAACATATTATTGTAACTTAAATATAGAGGAACCTTGAAGCCACATTTATAAATGTTCCAACTAAGAAGCATAAGAAAAAGATACGCAAGGTAACCCTAATAAGAACTATATTCCTCTCTTGGAAAGGATATTCAAAGCAGCTAAAGCGTGATAGATTATTGTTCTTTGGCATTAAGAATTTTATCATAAAGAGACTAAATGGGAAAGCCTTTCGATCTTTTAAGATTTATTATGTTCAGTAAAAGTTAGTTCAACATTATAGAGATAGAAATTTCAGTAATCTAAAAAGAGATGTAATAAAATCTTGGTTTAAAGTCATTAAAAGAGAAAGGTTTCAGAGATATCATCTCGAAAATATGTGCTAAGCCGTCGAAAAAAGGCTAGCATTTCAATAAATAATTTAGCATGTAATTCAAAGAAAGTAAAAATAAAGAGTCACTCTTAGAGTAATGAGGTACTGGGCTAGAAATATGAAAGCCAAAGTGTTTAAAGCAATCAAAGATAATATTGAATATAGAAGCTATGTTAGAGAATTGGGATTTAAAACATTGATATTTGAATAAGAAAGGCTGTCTAAGATTGGGTTCAGGGCTTTTAGAAATAATTTGATTTTAAACAAAAGAGAAAAGATAATGAACATCAAAGCATTAAGGTTTTTCAGTAGAATGTATAAGAAAGTGGGTTTTAGAGGATTTAAAATTGCTAAGACTATTGTATAAAATGCTAGATCCTTAAGTTTTTAAGCTACTATGCTGAATTCAAAAATAAATGAAAGGCTTTTGAGAGATATTATCGCTAAGTGGTTACATATTAAAATAGAGAGTGCAGATAAAGCTTCAATATTAGGATAAATGCTTTAAAATATCCTTTTCTTGAAAAGAGGCTTGTAAATGATAGCATATGCTAGTGATTTTTATAAGTAAGCTGAATAGTGTATGCAGAAGAGGAGATTAATGAACATTCTAAAGTAGAACGTAAAGCAGAGAAATTAAATGAGATATTTCATGATGATTTCTGATTCATCTTACAATTAATACCTAAAAATCTAAGTACTTAAATCTTTCAAGACGAATCTTCACTAAAAAAAGAAGTAATAAGAATTACTTGATTAGAAATTGTCAAAAATACAGTTGAAGTAGGCATTTAGAAATATAATCTAATTTGGAAATATGAAATGCCTAATGATGAGATTATCTGAAAAGAAGTAAGGCATTCAGATTAAGTATGCATTCTAAAGATTTTTTATTAATGCTAAGCTTTATGGACTTAATGATAGGTTAATTTAAAAAATCAAAGTCAGGTAAAGATTTTTACACTGGAAAGATATTTGTTTTTATGATAAACGTATAGTAAAGCTTATGGCTAGAGCTGTCAAGCACAGAAATAGAGTGCTTAAGAAGTAATACTTTAGCAGATTGAGGCTTTTGATTCACCCTAGACTTTTTGTGTTACCACATCATAGATTTCATCTATTAAAAGATTCATTCAAGAGGCTTAATCTTAATCGAATAAAAATGAGAATAGTCAATTATAAGATTAAAAAGATATAAGATAAACGAAGAGTCTTAATTAGGAAATTTCATCTTAAGCGTTGGTTAGATATATCAAGGTAGCATTAATATGAAAAGTATCAAAATTAAGAGTATAAAAATAAGATCGAGACTTTTCAGAGGGGTAAACTTTTATCTAGGAGTATAAAAGCAATGTAAATAATTGCTTTTAGAAAGAGAGTCTTTCAATACATTCAGAATAAAAGATATCTCTAAAAAGGTGAGATACTGATAAGTAAGATGAGAGATGGAATAATTTCAAACAGAGCCAAGGTTATGAAACAATAGGTAGGCTACAGACATTACTATTTTAAGTTAGCAACAAAGGTTTTAATCATACTTAGAGATAACTAGCAACAAAAATTCATGTAATAATTTAAGAAAGAAAAAGCTCAAAGGCTTTACGTAACTACTCTGGCAAAGAAGAGCATGTACAGTCTCTACAGAGTAGCATACTAAGGAAAATAGAAGAGAGTTTTAATAAATAAGGCAATCAAAGATAGACTAAGCTCTGTGCTTAGAAATACCTTTTTAAAGTTGCTTGAAGTAGGAATCTATTGGGCAACAATTAAAAGTAGATTCGGCATTCAACAAAGAGGAGGAAGAATTTATCTTGGATTAAAATATGGTATGAGATGGAGGGCTAAAGTTTTAATCGCTAAATACTATCGATCTCAAAATCAAAACACCTAAAAGCAAATAAAGGTCGAAAACATGAATAAATAAACAACAGATCAAGTGAGATAGCAATTAATCAGACTATTGAACAATCAAGCCACTATAAAACCGCCTTTGCCTTAATAAAGACCATAAATTGGAGTGAATCAAACTTAGATTTAATAATAATCCCTGAATAATACTTAGATGCTAGCTGCAAATAAATCACTATCTAGAATAAAAGAGATAGAATCAGAAATCGTGAATTTCAAGAATAAAAAGCTGCTGCTAAAGGAGCTTGAAGATCAATTCAAGTTAATGGATGGCAATCCTTAATTGTAAGGACTGCTTAGATAAAAGTACAACAATCTGAGGAATGAACTTGTTGAGTTACAGCCTAGGGTAAAAATGTTGCTTTAAGAGATTACATACATCAAAAACTAACAACAAGCCTCGTCACAAAGTTAGATGATGAATATGACTTTGGTAAATTAATCGTTTCTAAGCAATAATAATGATCCTTCATTCATGCTCAGTAAGTCAATGATATCTAATTTTAATTGAGTTTAAGATCTTAATTTATGAAATAAAGCATAATTTAATAACAATATGTAATAATCATGAGCTAACTTCCAGTCTTATTAATCGATATAAATCATTGACTCATTCACTTCTCTTGTTTCCCATATTTATGAAAGGGAGGACATTTTGAATTGCCTTATCATTTGTATCTTAAACCACTATAGTATTATTACCAGGGTTATTAGGTCCTGATTAAATCGTTGGCATATTTGTAGAGGAATCCTCAAAGTTAAACATTCCATAGGGATTTTATTTCTTGGATGTTTATGGGAATATAATACCGCCTAGGGTGTGATAATGGTGACTGCTTTCACTTTCTTCTATTCTTGAGAGCCCCTTTGGCCCTTTTCTGATAATTTTAGTCTGATTCTAGGACTGTCTCCTCTCAGATATTGTGCTATTTTAAGTTAGTGTGTTGTTTAAGTTGCTTCTCGTCTCTTTCAAACTCTGTTTCTTCATTTTCATGTAGCTCAAAGGTCCTAGAACTCCTGCCCCAGTTCCTTAAACCAATACTGATTCATTAAGCTTCTTGTCCATGATTTTGTTTATATTGAGTTCATCATCACTTGTGTTGGGGGAAGGCTACCTTGTCTTTGAAATTTAAAAGATATTTTTCTTGATGACTCTTGCATGCTCACCTTAATTAATGAAATTGATGTGATTCAAGGCTTGTTCAACAAGTAACTCTATCTTATGATACTCGTGAATCAATTCATTTCTCTGAAGTCTATGCGAGTCACCATTATGATGGGTAATTTAGATTGTATAATTTCTCTTCTACTGCATTACATTATGTATAGCTGATATCATGTTCTAAATCATATTTTATAATTTTAATCTTACTTCAGTAATATGCATCTTATTCTTGTCAGTATTGATTTTCTTGACTTTAAGATTTTAATTTCCAAGCTAGGGAGTATGAACATTCTGGTGATAATCATGATTTTAGCTGATATTAAAGTTAGATGTCTAAGATATTGATCTATCATGGTTAATAGTAGAAGTCTAAGCGTTTTTCTTTCCTGAGCCATGTTCTTAGAATATTGAACTTTAAGTTATTATTCCATTTCCACTTACATTGCCTTAAGCAATATTGTTTCCATTACTTTGACTTTAATGAACTTGTTGAATGTTGCCGCTAAACTTTGGATTTAAATTTACATTCTCAATAACTGTATCTTGACTAATTGTATACAAATTCGAACTCATGCCCATATCCAAATTTACATTAGTAGTATCTAGGTTGTAAACAAATGTATTATCTGCCATTTCTATAGCCTTGAATATCGAGACGAAATTCTCTAGACAATGACCCTATAAATTTATGAATTGCCTTTATATTACAAATTATTGGTATTAATCATTGAGTAGCTTTTATTTTTCTTAGAGCTGTTCTATGCCTTAGATCTTCTTGACTATCATTTGATTGATAAGAGTTTAATCAGTTTTCTCTTTTTTCATACTCTGAATTTCTACAATGTGATTAGCATGCACCTCTTGAACATATTAAGTCGTTTTAGTCACTTGTTCTCTCACATGATCTTCATACATCTTAAAATCATCTTTACACTACTACTCGTGCTGATTAATAAGGTATTTAATCCTAAGTTCAAATGTTTCCAGCTTTTGGTTCACTAGCTCATCTATCTCTTTCTTGATTTGTTGCTCAAAGTCATAGCTATCATCCTGGAAGTCTTCCTCTGGGATCTCCATATTATCAAAATTATTGTCATTATCCTTATCACCTTCAGAATGAGAATCTTCCTTATATAGGTCACCCAATAGAATTTTCTTTCTTTAATCCTCAGTCATATTCTTTCTTTCTTCTTCTAGACCCTTAATATCTGGGTTGTTAAGTTTATAAGGCCCTTTGTAGTCTGCTGGATTAGGCTATTCAACTGAATCTCTATTTAATGCTGAAAAGACGAAACCTCCGCTCATCTCACTCTATCTATTAATGAAACTCATCTTCCTATATCTTGACTACTGCCGTGATTCTTTGTCCATATTTGCATCCTTTATTTCTGGAAAGTTTTTATAGTTGTGTAATTAACTGCCAGTGGGCTACTTGCTTTAGACCTACCATTTTGCCTTCTATCTATCCTTTTCATTGCCCATAGCATTTTTCATAAACTTCTGTTGCTCTGTAATGAGTCCTTCCATGATCTGGTGATGGAATTTCTTTTGCCAAGATAGGAGATTAGGAATTCCTGAGTCATCAAATATAGGCTACAGAAGCATTGGCATCTTGATCTCGTTGAATTTTAGAAGCTTTTTCTTTTCAGTTCTTTTTACAACATATTCAAGCGTTTCATTGATCATTCTCTGGGTATAAATTGGTGTATACTTTTCTAGATAGTTCTCATTATTAAGCATTCTATCTACTTAGAGTCCGTAGTTCTCTGTAAGCTCTCTCATATGATTCTCCATAACAACCCTGAAGTCATTAAATTCTATCTGGTTGAGCTTGTCCCTTAGTACGTTTTTCACATCTTCAAGTATCTCATTTATATTAAGTTACTGTTTCTAATCAACTTCATCAAGTCTTTTTATTTCAATGGCATGGTTTTGAATTTTTGGTTCAATCTAAATAACTTTGAGCTTCATCACACTTATCTCATCACCTTTTTACTTAAGAAACTCAGTATGAGCATCTAAATTAGTCTTAATCTCGTGTAAACTCTCTTATTTGAATTCCTTTAGATGTCTGTCAATCTTTTCATAGTTAAGTATTGCTCCTTCAAGCATTTATTCCTACAAGACTCTTTAATTTTAATGATTGTTACAAAATTATCGAGTTGCTTTAATTTAGTGTCATAGACGAATACTTTATCATTGATATATTTCTGATAATCCATTTACTCTGACCTAATGATCTGTATATCTTTTCTTCTAGCTGATTCCTAAAATGATTATAGATTATACTGATGCTTACCATCTCGCTGAGAGCTTTGTGAATCTCATCGAATCTGCTCTCTTTATCATCTGATTTGTATAGCAAAAACTCAATTTCCTTGAGTCTAACCTCATTATCCCTTAGTTCTTTCTCAATTCTAATAATCCTTGATTGATCTTCTTTCATTTGAATGTCGTAACTGATCATGACATCTTTGATAAGCTTTCTAGTCTTGGTTTCAAACTCAAACCATTAAAACTAACTGTCTGAATCCATTTATTACTTTATCAAAAACTTATATTAATAATTAATTCAACTAATCTAATTATCAAGCTATTTTTACTACATGGGGTTTTGGGGTTTTGGGGTTTTGGGG